TCGCGAAAGCCACCAGAGACGCGGAGGGGCGCGGAGCGACCTGGACCGGCTGGTTCCCGGTTTGCCCGCTTGGCGGGCTGGACGGCGCTTAGCTGCTCTCCGAGCCTGGCGCAAGTGAAGCCACCGGAAGTTCGATGATTGTCCCGGAAGTTGGGCGTGCGCTGGGCTTCCTAGTGCATTCAGTCGATATTTTGGACCATGCTTTTTTGTGTCTTTGATTGGGTTTTAATACTCCCGTTTTGGATTAAATCTCGAGAATGAGGCATTTGAACTTGGGACATATTCACAACTTGATCAACTAGAATCTCAAAATGTTTACATTGAATGGCTTCCCATGATACTTCTCGGGTTCGCATGCGCTCTTACTGCGCAACAAGCAGGCTCTCTTGAGGGAACAAGCGAAAATCCAGCGCCCTCGACGCTATTCGAACCATTACTCGGAAGGGTTTCAAAGCCTGCCAAGCGCTCACTTCCGGGACAAGCCCCTCACTTCCGGTGGCTTCATACCTGTTTGCTCAATGCGCCATCCAGCCCCCTCTAGTGGAGATCAGTGGTTTCACCCTAAGTCCAGACGCATTCGACGCTACGAGCTGCTGCTACCAATCGGACAGTGTCAAAAGGGCACCATCATGGTGTTTGCCGAGCTTTTGTACGTGTTCTATCATCGCTGAACTAAATATGAAGGAAAAAAAAGGCCCCGTGACTTGCGCTTTTGACGCTGCTTCATTGATCCATTAGCTCGTAGCGTCGGCTGCGTCTAGGCTTAAAGGCCGACGATCAAGCACGAGATTCAACGGAGAGGTTCAAGTTGTGAGCTCTTCGATGGTATGTTGTGGCAGATTTTTGCCTTATCCTTGCACTCTTGCACTTTCGAATAGTCAGTGTGCCCTGAGCGACAATAGTATGAGAAACAACTCCGCTATCTTTTTTTTCTGCACTAATTATCACTTCCAGAGGGTTTTGAGATACTTTGTTGGTTGTAGCATGCCAGTCGCCTGCACAGAGTTAGTTTTACCCTATACCAGCTAGCTTAGTTAGATTCACCCTGTACAAGCTAGTTTCACCTAGTACCCACCTACGGCACGTGATGAAGTGAAGGACTTTTGCCATAGAGTGACTAGCCATCTCCGCCATTCACTCACATAGCCTTTGCGCGAGTACCTTGTTGTTGTCCATGTTGTTATATATTTCGTTTAACTTGTTTTTGTCCAAATATTGTGTTGCCTTTTGCTGGATTTTTTTTTCATGGGTGTTTGCAGACCAACTGGCATGGGCCTTCGGCCTTTCTGCTCTCCTCCCAACTCTGCTGAGCCGAATAAATGAAATGATATGAGAGTGTTTTGCTTTGTGCTCTGGCTTTTGCATTGGACACCATCGACTATGATTTAGCAGCGCTGTCGTCCAAGACTCCTTTTCTCACCTGTGTAGCTGGGAACTTCGCCTCTGTGACTGTGAAAAAACTCAAGTTCAGGTATTGCAGAGAACATTTGGTTTTGGAGAAGACACTTTCTCGCCATGCATGCAGTGGTTCATCATCTGACAGATGCTTTAAATTGAGGGGAACTGCACCTTTCAACGCACCTGGTCGTCAGTGGGGTAATGCATGCTGAAGTTGTCGTGAACAAGCTTATGTCGCCCCAGCACATCGCTCAGTTCTTGCGGTTACGTAATCAACGAAATATTGTCAGACCTGATACTAGCTACGCTGCCAGAGTTCGAAGAGTTGGACATTTGTGCAAGTGTCGACAACCATTCTTCTCAACATTGTCTGCAAGCACAAATATGATGCCTTAGGCAGAATGTCAACTCTCCTCCGGCCAAAAAGCAGCTGTCCGTCTTCCCATAAAAGCTGGCGTTGTTTTAAACATCAAGTGTGAAGGAATCACGACGTAGACCGACATACTAAAACCCGAAACGGAGGCAAAAAGGAAGTCTCGATAGATGAACTATATATTGTGTCACGTTCATTTACTGCTTTGTTACAGATTGTCAATCAGTCACATTTTTTGTTGCGTGTCTCTATTAAAATATTTTTTATTCAAAACAAATGACTCCTCAATTAGCGAGCCGTCACTTATTTTCGTACGCTTTAAATACAAAAGTGACCGTTCAACCTGTGGTCTGAGGTCGAGATCGTGCTGTTACATTTATTTTATTTTTCAGAAAACTATAACTTGAATGCGCTAGTAGTAAATATTATTTCACATATTTTCTAGTTGCGCGGTAAGCATGGACGTCAAAAATATATTCCAAATAAAATATTTGTGATTGCAGAGAATCTCTTTGGTTTTACAAAGAAGACTAATCAGTTAAATAATTGTGGAAAGGGTGTAGTCGCTAATGTTTGTCATGAGTTTTTTCAGTCGTCGTAACTTAATAGACGAGCTGTAGGAGAGTTGCTTTATGACCTTCTAATCTTAAAAATACTAATTAGATTAACTACGTCGTTGTCACGCACGGGTAAGTGACATTCGTACAATATTTCCAGTAAAAGCTGCAAGTTTCTACTCGGTTTCCCCGCTAAATTTAGCGGGAATATTCACATCTTGTGGCCAAAACATCAATTCAGTTTCTTTGCTAAATTTAGCGGAAACTTGACGTCACACGACCTATACCCAAATTCAGCTACCCTCTCAATTTCGCGGGAAAAATCACGTTTTGTGACTCAGACTTGTTACCCGCTAAATTTAGCGAGAAAATTCACGTATTGTGATCCAGACACCAATCCGGTCTCCCCGCTAAATTTATTGGAGGAAATCGGCGTCACGTGAGCTATACAACCATGCAGTTTCCCCCTCTAAATTTAGCGGGAAAATATACGTCACGTGACACCGATTTCTCTCTCCAATTCGCAACAATACATTGCTTGCATTATATGACTTCAAGCACCGTCGCCAGAGCTCTCGGTGCCCAAAATCCCCTCAGAATAAAAATTGGTGCCAATTTTTTTTTTTTTTTTTTTTTTATAGCGAAGTTGGGATGGCGTTAGGATCTGCAAGAATGCGTCCTCACGAGTCAACAGAAAGCTCCCCATTGGTCGTGGCAAGTATGAATAAATAAAAATAAAAAAAAGGGGGGGGGGGGGGGGGCAACCAGCGTGAGTCAACCGTCCTTGGCATTATTAGATAGTGAGGTCCTGATCTCTTGTTATCATCTCTAGGCGTCGTCCTCGAGGTCGTCCTAGAAGTCCTCCTTAAAATCGTCCTCTAGGTCGTCCCAGAAGTCGTCCTCTAGGCGTCGTCCTTGAGGCCATCTTAGACGTGGTCCTCTAGGCGTCATCCTAGACATCGTAAAAATAATAGCTTTGCTGGTCCTCCATCTTCACGTGAAGTGGAAGCTTCTGCAATTTTTTTTTTTTTTTATCTTGCATTAGCAAGTGAAAGCGTGATTGTAGCAGTTAAGACCCGTTCACACTTGCGACAGTCGCTGGAGATAGCGACTGGCGACCACCAGTGTTCACACTTTATTGAGCGACCGACGAGTCGCCAGGCTCGCTGCCAACTTAAGGGATAGTAATCAACACCTTTTCGAGCCGGTTGAAAGGTTTTTCTGATCAGAGGTGCCGGTAGGAAAAAACAAGAAAACGTAATGGTGCTTCGAAACGTAAAACGACGGCTATATGTGCGCTCCCTCAACCGTGATATTGTACGTACCCGCCATGCCGAAAATGTCGCCGATCTCATTTTAGGCCTGCAGCTTTTTGCCCCGATCCTTGTGGTCGGGGTGCCGCTTATTGTAAGGAAACAAATAGTCTTTGAGAGCATTAATAAGAGCTTCCGCGGAGAACTCCATGCCAGTGACCGCCGCCTTGCGCGCGTCGCTATTTCCCGCGGGTAGCAGTGCCGGATGTAAACAAACGCAGACATCACTTCCGACGAGACTCTGATTAGCACCGCCGTCCAGCAACTCGGTTTTGCGACTTGAGAAATATGTTAGGGAGCGACTGCCCAAAATCGGTCGCTACCGACCTGTTTTGGTCGCTCCGCGGCCAAAAAATCAGTCGCTAGTCGCTGGTCGCTCCAGTGACTGTCGCAAGTGTGAACGGGCCTTTATGTCAAAAAGTTTCAAGATCATGAAGGGAAAATACGACCCCGCTACACTTCAGCAAATAGTGTCGGTGGAAGCGTGGAATGAAGTTTATAGGTAGGCGTGCGCTTTGATACGCGTCCGCTTATTATATTTTTATGAGATTATTGATAAGAGCGTTCACAAAATTTTTATGGTCGTGCATTTTTGGAAATTTAAGCTGATGCTGAACAAAACGTCATTCTTCTTCGCGAAATATTGATGTTTTGTCTGGCTCGTTAGAACGACCAAATGTTTTTTCGAGTGGCGGGGGATTCGCGAAAATGAGGTCTTCGCTTAAATTATTACATGTCAGGCGTGAGAATTGATGCCCATAAACACGCCGTCATAATCAAATTTGATAACGTGTCTTATATCCGAATTGATAGATAGGGTTCTGATGTCCTTTTCATTAGCACGTTAAAACGAAAACAGAAAAGAGGAGGTGTTTAGACATTTATGTACGTTTTTCCTTTGTTGATGTGATTTATGTGTCAATCTTTATAAATCTGCTCCAGTATGTAGGTCTCACATAGGTTCCTCGCGGCAGCATGTTTTTTCGTGATAATGTTTTCATGTCGCGATCGCCCCCCCCCCCCCCCTCCTCTCCTCCTTTTTTCTGTTTTGATGCCACTGTGCTTATCCTCCTCCAAGTTTAGTTCTTTCTTTGGGTTTGGAACCTGCCCGATCATACTCAGCAAACAGGCCCGCTCGCATGGCAGATATGGTAGTGATCACTAAGCAGCTACAAAGTAAAACGGAATAACCCCCCCCCCCCCCCTCTAAAAAAAAAAAAAAAAAAAACTCATTTTTTTTTTTGTGTTTGTTTTTGTAGTAACCCAGCAACAACTTTATTTATAAATCACAGCTTCTGTCAGACAACGATCACAGTTTTGCCCAGCCCACCGTTTTCACATTTCGTTCCAATCAACACTTCACCAGAGGTAGCACCTTTTCGCCGGACTCATGGGATCATTCGGCACGCACGAGAAAGCGCGCGCGAACTCTTCCATGTTCATTAAGGGAATATTGCAGCGGTTCTCGGCCTCCGAATACTTTGTCGATCCACCATGAGACTCCGGGTGATCCGACACGTTGTCACAGAAGTTGTGACAGTACGCGATGAAGAACGTCTGATCCGGGTTGAAAGCCTTCAGTCCTCCGAGAACGTTGCCGACCTTGTCCAGTGGCAGCGCCGCTTTGAAGGCTGAGTAAGCGTACCGCACGGCGGCACTGTCGATGACGTCTTCTTGTATCGTGTTGTTGGTGTAGTTCCCTCGGTTTTCGTACAGGTTCACGTAGCATGTAGACTTGCTGTTGTACATGTCCGTAAAGTCCTCGGACCACCAAGGCAACGCTTGGCCCTTGACGTCGACGTCGCGGCCTTGGGCATCTAGGGCGTGCAAGAGCTCGTGGGCGACGACTGTACCCAGGACTGCGTAAGTTGTGGACACCGGGAGGTCGGGCGAGTAGTAGGGTGGCCTACTGCTTACGATGGGAACGTGGAGCTCGTTGGCATACACGTCGTACTTGATGTGGTCCTTGTACAGTTTCTGTACAGCCTCGTCAATTTCAAACTTCCTGGCAGGAAAGCCGGCTCGAGGCACCACACGAATCCAGTTCTCGAGAAAGTCGGCTCCCAGATCTGGAAACTCGACGGCAGTCGCGTTTTTGTCTGATCGTCGACCAATTTCTGGAAGCACCAGACGGGTACTGTTGATCTTCTGAATCGCCACTGCCTTTGTGTTGTTGTCTAACCAGGGGTTGAGGTTAAGACCCTTCAAGAGTTGCTTCTTGATACTGTCTACGACGTTCGCAACAGCACTCACGTCGTTTTTCGTGGTGAGCGACTCGGTGGCGAAAGAGATCAACTGTGGTAGCATCAACTTGGATGAATACTCTCTGCAGAACGTCCGAGCGTCCGCGACGGGGTGACTACACGAGTCTACGTTCATCTGGAGCGTGTGCTCCAGGCTCCGGATCTCATTGGTGAAGCAGCCACCGAATCGGGTGATCCTCCAGCCCAGGTACAGGGCCCCCTCCTTCTTCGAGAGCGAGTTAAACAGTCGTCGGAAGTACTCCGGGCTTGTGATGACCATGGTATGGTTGTCCAGGAACTTGGACAAGACGAAGTACTTGCTGAACGTCTGCATCCATACTTCGGGCGTGATGTTGGGCGTTAGAAACGACAGATTTTTGAGGGGCAACCTTTGTTTCTTGTCCATCACTGCGAGCTCAAAAAGCTCCTCCTCCATCTTGGCAATGATTTCCACGGTACTGGTGTGCTTCAATCCACCGCCCATCATTCTGACCATCTTGTCGAGGTACTTCCTATAGTTCTCTTTCCTCGTCGGCGAAAAGAGAAACTTGGAGATTTTGGGAGGCTTCAGAGTAAAATCCCAAGCGTTCTGCCTCTTCAGCGAGATGCCAAACCTGAAGAACGCCCCAATATTAAAGTCAAGCTCCATCCTAATGAGGAGATCAAAGGCGCTTAGCTCGTCGACCTTTGCTCCAGGCCAGCTGAAGTTGAAAGAACGCAGGTAATGCTTCAGGCTTCTCACATTTCTGTATCCCGGAGCGATGCTGTGGTAGCACGACAGGTAAAACGTAAGGAACTTATGGGCGTCGGTCTGCGACCGGACGGGAATCTTAGGATTAGATTCGACCCTGTGGAAGGATTCGCTGAGCATCTGGAAAGCCCAGCTTGCTCCGAAACCTCCTGTTTCGTTCGATGCTCCATTTGCGACAGTTGACGCTGTTGTGTTTGTCTGCCTTCCATCACAGACGAAGCGATGAAAGTTCTGGCAGGGGGAGTCTTTGAGGCTCATGGACACATTGATCTTGTAACCCAGCCGGTTACAAGTCATTGACCTGCGTAAATGTGTACGATATGGCATGGATTTTACAATTATGTCAGAACCGGCTTATGTTCGAATTTCGAACTTGCGCCGCACAAAACAACTATTGAATGGCGCAGTAATGAGCGCTTAGCCTTACTACCGAGATGAGTTGAGCTTATTATACATAGCGGGTGGAACCAGCTGAACAATGAAAAGACAACCGATCGCTGGTGTCCAGCGATCGGTTGTCTTTTCTGTTTCTCCTTCCTTCACAGTTCAGCAGGCTCCACCCGCTTAGCCTTATTACACTAAATCATATGCTCAGCTTCGGTTCACTTTGTTTTTAGAGCGCAGCTCTTAGGCGCCCGTTTCCGGCTTGAGCGGCGACGGCGACGCCGCCCAAGCCGGAAACGGGCGCCTAAGAGAGGACCTCGGGAGGACCTCGGATTTCCTTGGGAGGACCTCGGGTTCCTTCGGGAGGACCTCGGGAGGACCTCGGGTTCCTCGGGTTTCTTCGAGTTTCTTTGGTAGGACCTCGGGAGGACCTCGGGTTCCTTCGGGAGGACCGGGTTCCTTCGGAAGTTGCATGCAACAGGTTGCATGCAACCTGGGTTACATGAAGCCTGTTGCATGCAACTGACTCGCAACGAGTTGTGTGCAACCTGTTGCATGCACTCCAGGTTGCATGCAACCTGGTGACGTCATCGGCATCCGCATCGTCATCATTACTGATGACGTCATCAGTGACATCACTGATGGCATCATCAGTACCGATGACGTCATCTGTGACATCACTGATGACGTCATCAACATCCGCATCGTCATCACTACTGATGACGTAATCAGTGACGTCACTGATGACATCATCGGATCGTCATCGTCAAGGTCACGTGACCCCCCGAGATCACGTGATTCCCCTTTCAGTACCTTTCCCTCCTCCTTCTCAAGAGCTGCGCTCTAATTCGACGTTACAGGGAGTTGTAAACGGCTTTCATTTTTATAAATCTGCACACTCACATCCTTGTTTACTACTGCGCTGTTCACAACTCGCCAAATATACCTCTGGTGGACCATGTAATACAGCAAAGGAAGACCATTTCTTGTAGTTGGCGTACTGTCACTGACAAAATAAGAATGTCGGGGAGATCTTTCAGCTGTCCCGCCTCCAGTGCGAGCTTCCAACCTTCGAGAACACTTCAGCGTCTTCTTCGAGCGCTTGATCACGCGCTTCTCAGCTTCCAGCGCTCACAGGTGGCCAAAGCACTACGGAAGGCAACGAGCGCGTGCTGGAGGCCGGCCATCTGAGAGTGTGGCCATAGCCTCCTCTATAGGGAGCATTCACTGGACGCGATATTTGTGGGTGCTCTTTAAAGCGCATGCTGAGAGCGAGGTCACCTTAATAGGCTGCTAAGTCCGGCAATCTTGATGGTGTGAAATGCACGCTGAAAAAAAAAAAAAAAAAGAAGTGCGGAAACTCGCCGTCAGCACGTGCTCAGCAGTCGCGCACACAGCTATGGCCGCCAGTGAATACTCCCTATCGGAAGTATTCACTGGTGGCCATAGTTGTGTGCACGACTGCTGAGCGCGTGCTGACGGCCAGCTTCCACGGTTCTTTTGCAACGTGCATTCCACACCATCAAGAGTGCCAGTCTTAGCAACCTATTAATGTGGGCTCGTTCTGAGCATGCGCTCTAGACAGCACCTACAAATATGGCGCCCAGTGAATACTCCTGATAATCGCGAAGCCTGGCAGTTCGACGTCGGAGCCATGAATGCCCGGTCGCAGATTTGGAGCGCAAGGATCTTGTAGCACAGAACTTTGAAGACCCATTTCTCGGGGAACCTGGACGTCAGCGCGCAGCTTTTGCAGCGGTGAGGACCCGAAACACACTTGTTCGCTCGGGAGAAGTGTGCTTCGGTGTCTAGCCGCAGCGGGGCGCCAGTCATGTGGTTCTCCTCTTATCCGTTGTCTGCCGCTCCACCTTATTCATTTCGGCGGCCGCTTCTCGTGGCCCTCTGCCAGGCGATCTGCCAGGCCTGGAGCCGCTATTGTCATCCTGTCGGCGACTGGAGTCGGCGTCCAGCTGGTTTGTTTCGGCCTGTTCAACCTTTATATAAAGGGACCTGTCCGCAATAAAATTTAGGCTGTGTTTGTAACGTTCTCTTTCTCTTCTCATGGTGTCAACCTTCGTGTTCCTCAGTCTCGGGTTGTTTCAAAATGTTGACTATACAGTATACTAATGAACGTAAAAGGCATCTTTGTATACGTACGGTTTATTCCAGTCGTATCTACGTATAGTTTCTTTTAATTCGTGTCCTTAATTACATAACCTTTTCAAACTTAAACACCGCCTGCTTTCACCCTTTACACTTAATGTCCCGATCTTTTTTTTCAGTTTAAGCTTGCATTTTGTTTGTGGTTTTGTCAGCTTGTCTCGATGTATGTGTTCCACATCAAGGCGAACTGGGTGTTAAACAAAAACACACACTTTCTGGTGTGTGTGTGTGTGTTTGCTAGAATGAAATTTTAAGTGTGAGGAAGGCCATACCTACAAGTCCCCTCCACGTTGAGTACGGCCTTGCCGGAGGGTTGGTCGCTGGCGCCCTTTCTGGCGCCGATAGTAACGATGGTGAGCAGCATGAGCACCACGACGCAGGACCCGACGGCTCCGACCGTGACGAACAGTTTGTTCTTGATCAGGCGCCGGCCGCCTTTGTCGTCGTCGTTGATGACACTCAGCTCGTCGGACATCATCCTGGTGGTTTCTGGAAGCGCGAGGCGTAAACCATTCCAAACGTGGCCGTCCACGCCAGTACACCGCAGACGAACTAAGGGAGCGGAAGAACCCCATTTATGTGTTTGCCCCAATTCTTTTTTTTTTTTTTTTTTTTTTTTTACAGCGGAGTTGTTATGGGGCTTGTTTCCTGTAGTTTCCTGAGGATCGTTCCCCCCGCAAAGAAATGTCGACACAAAACTCTGGTTGCCGCCGTCGCTCATAGATGGCGGTAACTGTCCAGAGCACTGATCTCAATGACACTTGCTGGATCGCGCTTGCCGATCCCGCAAGTGAAGCCACCGGACGCAACCCTGCTGGGATACGGTTTCCCGTTTTGCTAGCCTTTTGCTGCGGTTTTCCAGCGTGCTGTAGACACGTTTTCTACTCGTTCGTCGTCATTCGCCGAGGAAGTTTTTTGAGACTCTGTGTATTGTTGAGACTTGCCGTTGTGAACACGTGGAAAATTTTACGAAAGTGCAGTGTCGCAGGAAAAAGGCACAACGCGTCGAAAGGAAGGGCTGGCGGCGTGTTCAAAGCTTCCTTGGCACGCCGAAGTGCCGTGTCTCTGTGCCTTCGCGCGCTTGAATACCGACCAAGAACCGACGCCTTGTGAATGTGTTTAGCGAGTGCAATGTGCGTGAAGCCGTATCAAAAGGTACAACTGGTCGAAAACGTGTCGCCGGTGTCGCGGCGTGATCAAAGCTTCCTCGGCACGCCGAGTGATGCATCTTTGTGCCTTCGCACGCTTGGGTACCGGTCAAGAATTGACGCCGCGCCAAAGTTCTGAACGTGTGTCGCGCGTAGATGCCTTTAGATCATTTATATATATCGGCCACGGAGTTCTGGATCGTCCAGCTGTTCCGGTGAGTTGCTATCAATAAAAGGGAGAGATCTGTACGTGTTCTTATGTACTTATTAACCATGGCTATGTCCCAAATCTACTCTAATAGATTCCGTGGGAGCGCGAATAGGGCAGCGTTGCGGAGCCAGGGGGGTTTCGAAAGCAAAAGTACAAGACGGCGAGAATGAAAATCTTTGAAGCGCGGCCGATATGGTCGTGTGCAATCTGTTCACCAATTACAATTAGGCGAGCCGCGCTCAAACGTCAAGTGCAATTAAGTAGGTTGATAATAAGCCAGCACTAATCAGTGATGAGGAGCTGTTGTGCACGGTATTGTGTAAATCGTCTAAGGACGAAAAAAAGACGTACCTTTCCCCCATCTTCCGTCGCTAGTGGACGCTGGATTAAGCTCGTTCTTAAACCGCGAGGGGAAAAGACGCTGATCCAGAGGCACGAACAGCTTCACGCACATTGCACTCGCTAAACGCATACACACGGCGTCGGTTCTTGGTCGGTATCCAAGCGTGCGAAGGCACAGAGACACGGCACTTCGGCGTGCCAAGGAAGCTTTGAACACGCCGCCAGCCCTTCCTTTCGACGCGTTGTGCCTTTTCCTGCGACACTGCACTTTCGTAAAATTTTCCACGTGTTCACAACGGCAATTCTCAACAATACACAGAGTCTTCAAAAAAAAACTTTTTTGGCGAATGACAACGAACGAGTAGAAAACGTTTCTATAGCACGCTGGAAAACCGCAGCAAAGGCTAGCAAAAACGGCAAATCGTATCCCAAGCGAGTGAAGTCCGGTGGCTTCACTTGCGCTGCAGCGAACAAGCGGGGAAGCGCGATCCAGCAATCGTCATAGAGATCAGTGGTCCAGAGTGTTGCGTTTGCCGGTTGTCGGCTTGCCGCCGTTGCTCATAGATGGCGACACCTTTCGAGCCTCCACTCTGGCTTGCCGACTTGCGGCCGGCCATTGCTTCATTTCCACCATTGTACAGCTTTGATGGTCTTTCTTCTTCACCAAAGTGGAAAGGCTAAAAGATTTTGTCTGGGCGACAAGTGCTGGGAAGGTGTATCTATGACTTGCGGTGACGTCACATGACTGGCCAAAGTGGTGGCTTTGTCGCTTAGCGCGTACGTTCAGCGTCAGACGTTTCGCATCGAACAAAACTTCGTTCACCGCGCTGTTTTTTTGTTTTTTTTTTTGTTTTGCTTTTTGTCACGACCGAGGACTTTGCTAGTACTGAGAACCTGAACGATGCTTTCGACGTTTACACTTTAAAAATTACCGTAGTTGAAGCCAGAGAGTGTGAAATCATTCACTTAGGAGTCTGTTGGGTAGCTGACCTTCGGTATTTACCGAAAAATACCTATGCTACCATGCAAGAAGTAAAAGCTTGAGATCTGAAATATTGCGCATTTCTAATCATGACCCAGGGATGGAAAACAAGGTGTGGAAGGCAGTTAAAAAAAGAAGCGACTTCTAATCTCCGACAAAACAGGGCCCAGGAAACCGAAAATGGCGACAGACGAAGTTGACGAGAAGCGGGAAGAGAGAGAGAGGCAAGCCGTTCTATACTTCGTTTCAGCTTCGGTCCGAGTGCGGCCAATGTTATGAGCCGAAGGGCCAATCAAACACCGCAAAAAGCGCAGCGTCATGGCGTGCTCTCTGCACTTGATAAGACTAGCCGGTTGAGGAGCACGCACAGAGAGACGGCAAATACCGGCTGGTCCTATCAAGTGTAGAGAGCATGTCATGACGTTGTGCCTCTTTCGCAGTTTGATTGGCCCTTCGGCTCATAACATCGGCCGCGCTCGGACCGAAGCTGAAACGAAGTATAGGCATTATTGCAGTTTAGATTGTACGCCTGTACTGGGACTAACTGATCTGTGATAAATGTACATGTAAAGGTACAGATTTGAAGTCGGGGCTCTTGTAAAAAATTAAGAACAACTTGTCCCCTGCCCGCTCCCGCTTTCGCACCGCAGGCTTAACCCAATTCCAATAAAAATGAATAGGATCATGTGATATAGACAAATTACGTAAAAAGCTTTTAGCTTTTCCACTCTGGTGAAGAAGGAAGACCAGTGGAGCCGTACAATGGAAAGTAATGGCCGGCCGCAAGTCGGGAAGCCAGAGTTGAAAGGCTGCCACCATCTATGAGCGAAGGTTGCAACCAGATACGTGGCTTGCCGCTGCTGCTCATAGATGGCGGTAGGTGTCCAGAGTTCAGTGTCTTCACTTCTTTGCGGGGGACACTATCCTGGGAAAACTAGCCCTTAACAGCTTCGCTGTAAAAAGTGCGAGCGGGCTAGTGGAAGTCCATCATACTAATACAACTTATTTTTTTTTTGCGCTTTAGTATTAGGTTTTACTATTATGATGAATAAGTGCGGTGTTTCTACAGCACCTCTCCAAACGGTAGTCTAGCTCTGTTTTTCAAACTACAGTGAGACGAAATGATAAAAGTTGTTTTCCTGTACGGTAACAATACTGCGTAAATATCTACCGATTGCGTCCTTGAGCACATACAACGTAATGTTTGATTTAGTACCTGAATTTTCGACTACTAGTGACAATGCTGCACGACTGACTAGCCTTAAAAACCGACGACCAGTTCGCGCTTTCAACTTTTCTCCCGCTTCCTTCTCTCCCCTCTTCTACCCTGTCCGCCACTGCCTGTTTCCTCCTCCCTCATCGTGAGGAGGACCTTCTGCCTTGCAGAATCTCGAGTCCGGTCGTCGGCTTTTAACAAGTTTTTTTACCTTGTGCTTTCCCCGGGCATGCAAAAGAGCTGACTCTTTTTTTTTAAATTTTGTACGTGCACTAAAACGGTCTGTGTGTCGTTCCTTGAATTATATGTACGGGTCCTAACAGAGGAATCAGTGTCAAGCTTACGAACTTAGTGGTGCTTCCTGGAGTCGACGGCCCGCTGTGAGCGCAACTGGCGGCTATAGGGACTCATCGAGTCCCACGATCCCAGGACGGCACGACCCTACAGATGCGTTCTCGGGGTGGAATTCGGCACCTTTGTGATGCCCCTTTTGGGGGCGGATCGGAAGGGAGGTGCTTCGGTGGTACAGAACGTTGTCGCCTCGAACCTTGTAACCTCAGTGACCTGAATGTTGTCGGCCGATAAAAAAACTAATTCTTCAGCTCTGTGCTCGAACCGCGTGCTACTTTGACGTTCTCTTCTTCTGTTCGTCAGATCTGAATCAAAAGAGTGTGTGTGAATGTACTGTAGATCGGAGCACGTGGTGCGAAATCTCGCGCTGCAGAACCCAGAAATCTTGGGTTACTTTCCCATCCTTGCCCGTTTCGATCTGGATGAGCATCGTATATCAGCGTGCGGTCGTGTGATCACTACTGCGGGAGGCACTGTAAAGATCCGACCAGCAGTATATACTGCACTGGCAAAATTTATAATTTACAGAGTGTAACTATGTTGCCCACAAAAACTCCGGCAGACTAACCTCAGACTGTCTAAAAGTATAACTACAAATGAAACTTTTCGACTGAAGCAAAATGGTGTGCATCGAGATAATTACTATACCTTGATGAACGTTGAAGAGTTGTCAGGTACTACACACTAGACATAATTGCTTTCTCTGCAGCATGGAGATTAAGTCACCATATTTCAAAGAATACACACCATCCACCGTATCAATCGTTGGCAAACCAAAACCACTCGCAGTCGTCAATACAAATGCACGACTTGCAAAAAAAAGAAAATCTTTTTTTTCTTGGGGGGGGGGGGGGGGGGGGGGGGTTATATGAGGATTTGACTGAATCAACAATCATGTCCTACAACTCAGCTTCGGCTCAATTCAAAATCATGTTAAATTCATATTTTAGCACAGATACCAGAGGTATCTGTGCTAACTAGTATAAACCTACTGATTAACCTAAAAGACCACTCTTTATACCGAAGGACATGGGGTGTCCTACCGGTCGTGGCTACGAATACGTTCTTTCAATTCAGGTTACCGATTACATAAGTGGTCAATCTTAGCGCGGCTGCCGGCGCACCTTCGCGTGCCGAATCGTCTCATGCAAATAAGGTTGTACCTTCTCACATTGACGAGAAAACGGCTACTCGCGATGTTCCAAGTTTCCGGAATGTTTACGACATCTGAGCGGGAGAACTTTGTGCGTGAGGCGGGGAGCCCCGAGCGGAGCGCCCGAGGCGGTGGGGCGGCCCGCGAAAACTCTCCGCCTAACGTATTTTCTCTGGTTTGCTATCCACTGCCACCACTCGAGGGCTGTTGACGTTGCTGGAACCGCTTGCCGCTCTCCGTTAACAAGTGTAAGACCGCCTCCTAGAAGTGTCTCAAACTCTGTTTCGTCTGTCCGCACTTTACCCTCCAGCCGGTGTTCGGAGTGCGAGGTGATTTGTTGTGTCTGGAGGGCCAGACTCGTCTGTGTCTCGTACGCCCGGCACCGCCTCGACTCTGGGCTTGAGCACCGGATGAGAACGATTACCTTCACGGGGAAACGGGGAAGAGGGATAGGTGTAAGTCTATAAGATCACAAACGAGACAAAGGTCCGAGCATTGCTTGTATCTAAGGTGATGGACGGACTAAACTAACTTAAGCTGACTAAACGCGTAGAGGGATCCCTGGTGGTGATGAACAGGGCCGGCCTTCCCGACTTCACTCCGATGGAGCAGCTGAAGTTAGCTGCTCAGATGAACACATTATGAGAAGTCGCCCAAGAAATGGTACAATGCCAAGAGGAATGATTCGCCCGTTCGTACCACGGAAAAGTCGTCCTCACCATGAGCGGCAAGGTCCACCTGACGAAAGGCCCGCTCCTCCCGATACCACCTCCACCGTGGGACAACTAGCTCATCATATACCAGCCAAGCCGTTGCCCCAGAACCACGGCGGCAACAACGTCGTCGGACGCCGAATGACTCCTCCAACCACCTGAAGGAGGTAGCCGGACATCCTGAAGACACAGAGATATTCTACATGGACACTGTTAGAGGTGAGCAGGGACGCACTGCTCAGGCGAAACCGGGCAACAAACGATGCCAGGGAGCACAAGCAGCTCTTGCGCGGCAGAGCTCCACGCGATTCTGCTCGCCATTCGAGCCGCTACCAAGGGTCGGAAGACCCGCGTGACGAATATGATCATCAATGACGAAAATAATCCTTGGAGAAGGGAAACAAGATGGACAAAGGACAAGTCTCCAAACACAGCTGTGTTTGGAGATTTGTCACGCTTGTAAAACGAGAAGTTGTCCACTCTGATCCGCTCACTGCCGTCAAGGCCCAATGCAGGCTCATTCCCCCGGACCACAAAGAATGAAGAACATCCAATCTACCAGAAAATTATACTCACGGTGATATACACTGCTTCATAACCGGATTTGTTCGGCTTCAATAAGGATCGTAAAAGCGAACGTTACTATGAGCTATGAACGCTTTAAACACGCGCCAGATTGAGCCGCCATTGCCTACCTTATCTTATCTTACCGAGATAGCGAGCCACTGAAGCGGGCGTTCACGAACCTCCACAAGGGCTGAGGAAAAGGACACAGTTGCATCTAAAGTGACAATAACTTGTCCTTCTATGGCAATGATGAAGTGAAGCGAACGGAATAAGAGGAAACAAAAACTGCAAGTCAGTTATGGTGGTACCTATGCACACCTGGCTGAAAGCGTCTATACTCGTTGATACCTTTCCTTGACGCAGAGTCGTTATAGGGTTTGGTCGAGAAGCGGGCAGAGCCAGGGCGTGCACCAGACGCAGATAGAGTGCTTGGCATGCTCTCTTGGCCAACCAGAAACCGAAAAAAATCTCCCAGCGGTGGTAGCGGGAAACAGTTTTAATAAGAGCTTAAAGGTTAAATGAAGTTACTCTTCATGGTTGAAAATATGGTGGACGTGATGTTTCGATTATGATCAGGCAAAAAGATGGGAGAAACAATGTGCCGCTCAAACTCTGTTTTGCTTGGGCAAAGTGCGGCCGCACGGACGGCAGATTCCCAGCCTCCGGCGCCTGCATGGTGTACGGATTATGTCGATCGTCCCGGTAGTTGCGCTCTTCCACCATGGCTTTGGATGACCGTGATTGGAACATCACGTGCGCCATATTTACAGTCACCGGGAGTTACTCCGATGCACTTACCAGGTTTGTTTCTCGCGACCACCGCCAGGTATTATTTCTGGCTTCTGGTTGGCCACAATCGAATTTGTGAAGACGCCCTGGAACACGCCAGCCCGCTTTCGGTCAATGGCGCCTCCTCATTTGCTACTTCCAAATGGTTGACCAAACTCTCTCTATATACGGCTCTTCCCTGACTTTCTAGAAGTGAAGAGTGCGTGTGGCACAGCCGTGAACGGAACTCAATGTGCTCGAGCGCCCGTGCGACCCATAGCTTTGACTAGATGCACGGTCTAAGAGAGATATATATATATATATATATAGACCACAATGTATTTCCTCCCCCGTGATATAGACGAATGCAAGCAAGGCGACTGGCCGCCGCCATATGTCCCTGCTCGTGCGGGCAACCCCGTGAATACACTGTTCCCGTGGAACTGCAAGCTTGCCAAAGCTATGTTCACGCGCGCGCTGCACGCGTGATCACAACCATGGGGCCGGACTAGTGCCTCACCCATGAGGCACCAGTCCGGCCCCATGGTTGCAATCGTCTATACATGGACACGGCGTGTGTCGCATCTACCAGATATCGTCCTCTCCTCGCTTTGGTTTCGAGCGGCGCCACCAGATGTCTCCTTGATATGCGGCTAATGACAGCCTCTCGCGAGCCCGGTTTCCCTCGCTTGTTTATGGAAGGCATGCCATGTCAAACTTGGCCCTTGCGCTACAAGTGTTACTTGCACGCTGCTTCGTCACTGACCTTTAGTTTCGTGCCCCAATGGTGGCAATAACAGGTTATATGAACGCGTTGAAGCGGAAAGATCTTTGGCGCGGTGTTCAAGCCGCAGTGTTTGTCGAGGTCAGAGCAGACGCTCCGCGCGGAAGAAGCGCGTGCCCGGTTGCCATGGAAAAAATACTTTTATTTTCTTCAGTTGCGTCGTCTGGACGGTGGAGACGCTATCGGATGAGGCCACTGGGACGCGTGCTAATAGGACTTTATCTGGTCAATCGCGTAGCTGCATTTGCCGTGCTTTGTATCGTCACCTATATATTATATTTTACACCGTGGATTATAGAGTCACTGTCTTTGTCTGCTTGCAAAACAGGTCCGCATTTGCCCAAACTAGCTATGGCACTGCGCGCGCGCTGAAAACAGATTCGCACGACGCAAACAGCAGCGTCATCGAAGCATCGTGACGACAGAGTCGTGTGTTGGCGTAAAAATTGCAGTTTGATCAATAGCAGACACGATGATGCAAGCAAACGCTGTAGACGATACATATTTTATTGGGTCCGTTTTAAAATGTAAGCAAGAAAATATTAAAATATAAAAAAGTCTGAACAGCACAGTAAAACAATTCCCGGTTCACAGTGGCGGAAATATTCTAGCCGCCTACTTTCGAACCTATAGGGAATATTTGTAATGCACTTAATTTGCTTTGGTACAAATGCACATGGGGGAAAAACGGGTGCTCGTGTTTTAAATTATGACCTTGGTATAGTCGAGTTCCAGCCTCTTTTGTCGATGTGACAATATCTTACGAACAGCTCAGTAGCTTGTCTTCACATACGGCATTATCCGGCACTGAACGGTACAGAGATGGCATAGCGTTCTGTATAGGTTCAAGTAATCTTTCAAGTATAACAATGCATTAAATACTGGCTTGTCGAGAGAATTAAACATATTCAAAGCTGCAATCAACGCAACGTTCTGGCAACAACGACAAACGCGTGAACGCGACGTCACGATCACTCGCTTGCTGAAAAAAGTTTCATCAGTTCACGCACACAATGTTGTAAGTTTGAAGCAGTAGAAAAGTTCACAACTTAAACAAGAACAAAAAGTGGGATAAAAACAAATTTGTATGTACAACTGGGTCTGAAACCCTGCGCTTTCATCCTAGGTCATGTGTTTGAAATTGCAATGATTGTTATTGACCGCGTGACCACCCCCAAAAGAGTCTAAAAGCTTTTTGTAGCGAAAACAGTTAACAGCCTTTCTGAAGAAAATGGTAAGCCGTTATAAAGGGAAATCCAATATTCATGCATCAGGAGTATCAATAATTGTATCCGATCTGTATTATCAATATCTCCAATCCAAGGAAACGAGGTACCTTCCATCAGGACAGCCAGTGTAGAGATAAATTAGTCATATATAGTAGATGCAGCTTTACGTTACCTAGGCCATGGGTCAGTAATCTCTTTCCGCAGACACAATAAGATGTATTCTGCCCTATAATCAGCTGTGTGGCGCTGAACTGCTGCCTGAGTCAAACTGCTTGTTCACAAGGTACACCGCTGCCTATTCGTCTAACGGTCGGCTGACAAAGATGGCGTCGAAAAAACAACAACATTGGTGTTAGCTCCAGGCTAGACACCACTTAAACACCTGTGCTGAATGCTCAAATCAGGCTCAGCGGCCTGGGGGACAAGTACACGGGTGCGATGGCCGCGTCGAAGAGACGCCTCGCAGACTTGTCGACAGCCATCGGAACAATGGCTTGCTCTCTGGTCCGCGGTCTTGGCTTTGGATTGGAACGGATGTGCGGTGAACGCTGGCACAGTCCGGCACTAAGGACGCGAGTGTTTAACCTTCTAAAGGTTCAGTTCGACGTCGGTGGAGTAGCAGCCGATCTGTTCCGATCCCCGATGCACTGTGGCCTTGACAAAGAAGTCCCCGTCCAGGAGGTAGGACGGCAGATCGGGCGGCAGCTCGGGCACTTTGAACGTCGACGGCTTCAACCGCCATTCGCCCTGCGTAAGTTGCGAAAATGTGGGTCATTACGGACCTCTTCAATGATAGCCTTCTACGCATTGACATTTTTGTTGTCTACTGGGCTGCGGGGCGCCCTCCGGGCAGTAGCTATCTTCTGCAGAATATCAGACGTGATGCCGCGCATCCGCCCACGGCCGAGTGATTCGTCATTTTTCGCCGGGATGATAAGCGCTGGAAAGCTAAATACTGTCATCGTGAATATTCACGCTAGTGGTGTGGCGAATGTCTGCCACGTTCTACTTTTTACCGCGTTATTATTATTTTTTTTTTTTTACATTTTGAATTGTTTTGTTGTAGTTATTGTGACGCGGTTGACTTATGCGGTATTTTATCTGTATGGGGGCGGGTGCTGCGTGAACTCGTATCACGTTTGTTACAACGTATTACAAGCTCGGCGCCACACAGAAGAGGGCTGATATGTCAGTGGCACTTTTCGGCTAATGCCGCTGCTGAGTAGCAGAAAGAGCACTATCGATAATTTTCATTTGCGCCGTCCGCGCGGAATGAATCGCCACATGTCACAATATTCACGCGAAGTTTTGTGGTGTAACGCGCCTCGGGAATTTCGCTGACGCCACTCAAGTAGTCCAGACATCGCCAGGAAGACGTAGAATCAGCAATTCGAACGCGAAAAAGGGCAGGAGGACTCACACCGACGCCGACAACATCGCATTCCATTGGTTTGTTCATGGGCGACGGCGAGCTTCTTGCCCACACCCCCATCACGCATGCGCGGCGCCGGTGGTGTCCCCTAGGGGCGCTCCGGTTTGTTTCTAAACCAAGCAAAGATTAAGTGAATGGTGGCAGAAATCGAGAGAAAACTAGGTATTTTCTTATCCACTTAGGCAAGGGGGTTTCATAGCCTCACTTTCTTTGCACTGCGGAGTGAATATAGATTTCACATTTAAATATTCTAAGCTTAAATGGTAAAACAAAATGGCTAGGTGGCGTAAGCTACCGCCCGATCCAAAGGGCTCAGCCGTATTCATCCATCCATCCATCCAAACATGAGTTGGTGTATAGTTGCAGCCCACTGGTGGCCGGAAGCCGCAAAATTGGGTTGCAGAGTATACTGTCACACGAGATGCGGCAATGCGTACCTCGTGATATGGACACTTGCAGGGGACCTCCTTGCCGGTGACTATGTCCAGACACTCTCCCTTGGCAAAGAGCCCGATGTCGCAGATGTCGTCGTACGTGCACGAGCCCACTCCGTTGGGAAGGCAAGGTATGGTCAACCAGGTGGACAGGCCGAACAGGAACGTCAGCTTCTTCTGCATCTCGAGCCGGACCTGGCAGAAATCAAGAATGTTGTCATCACGGCTGTGTGGACGTCCGAGACCAATATCTCACAGCCCGCTTCATTTAGGGTGCCTAGATGTCTGTCTGTCTCAGGGTGAAGACATCCATTGTTGTCCGGAATGTGCCAGCGCGTGACGCTCTCGCGCACTCGGTGCGTGACTTGGGCGGTAAGATGGCGTCTATGCATAAGCCAAAGCTACGCGCTTGAGCTGAGTGACACCGGATTGCGCGCACTTCAAAATGCATAGAAAGAACGATTGGGCGGAAAAATGGCTGAGATGTCACCACTCAAGCAAAAGCGCGCGTGTGTATGAAGGCACTCTAGCTTCATTACACCACCGCTGCCACCATGCACGGTGAGAACTATAGTCTTTCTGCATGCGCGACAACCCCGCTAAGGGCCTGCGCGAGCAGTACACGAGGCGGCACGAGCTGTCTCGTGAACTGGCGTCTGCCTCGTATGAACTACAGTTACGGCGGCGTCACCGATGTGTGGAATGCTTAGTGCGCTCGGTATTAGCGCCGAGATGTTTCGGTGGCGCCCTCTTATGATTTCCATCCGTGACGTCACGAGTGGGATTGGCCTCGCCGTGACGTCACCAGTTGTTACCCCGGCTACTTACCTTCAGGTGTGACGACGAGTACGATGGTGTGTTTAAAAAGCACAGTGGAAGCTAAGAGCCATTGCAATCGGAAACTAACACCGTCAAAGTTGACAATCTGACAACGCTCATATAAGCCCATGGTTTGGCCAATCGTGGAAAGCTGACCGCAGCGACGCTTTTGGTCACGCACATCGTTAATATTGAGGGGGGAGCACTGCAAGATGCTTTTAGGCAACTGTAACTGTTTGATGAAGTCACTAGGAACCATCCCTTTATCGTCATCTTTTTATGGCTTCAGTTCAATGCTCTGGTGACACGAGATGTTATTTCTTTCCTATGGACACCAATAAAGGAGTCCAGTGGATTCCGCTTGATTTCCTATTAGTTAGTGCGGGTTTAAAATTCCGTTCTGTGGCCACGTGTCCTGCTTACGCTCACACTTGAGAAAGCAGCTCCTGACATAGCTTCCCTGGGAGCCTCAAGGTACTATAGCTGACGATGTCATGTTGAGACACGTTCTGAGGCTTCCAGGAAGCTGCCATTCTAAAGTCTGCAAAAGGCTCATTATCAAGTTGATCCTGTAAACTTGCGTCTTGTCTGGTCTTACGTATATAGATTTGCGTGTTTTTTTTTATATAAAAGGAACAGTCGCTACCTAATAACACTAAAAGTTCCTAGTACTTTTAGGGGTTTCCATGTCTATGGACGGTGTTGCGTCGGGTGACCAGGGGACTAAACATAGGATCGTGCCACCTGCAAAGAACCTCGACTAGAAACTTGAACGGGCGTCGGCACTCGCAGGAGCAAGATGAGTCAGATGACCCCCGTCTGGAACGCGAGAAGAACGATACCGGGGAGCCGTCCTCGCTCGGACGCGGAAGTGTGCCGATGCTTTCGCTTGCGTGTCCCTATCGAGTCGACCTGGAGCGGCCCCCCAGTCGCTCCTCGTGACAGGCACCGTTCGAAGAAGCCCAAGGGCACGGGGAGAACCAGCGCCGACGTTTCCGCTCGCCTGCACAAGGGGCAACCTTGCAAGGTCGGCGGGCACGGCGCCTAGCCTCGGCCCACTTGACGCGAGGGGAAGAAGAAAACGCGTCAATGAGCCGGGTGGGGTGTCAACGTTTGTAAATTCCGGCTTGGCAACGGCGGTGTGTGTGTGTGCCCTTGTAGTCACGTTCTTGGTTTCAAGGCCTAGATACAAGGGACCAGTCGTCTTCTGCCCAATGTAAAGCGCGAAACCCATGTACGACGAAACCGTCCGTTAGTAAAGTATTATTAGAGTAGACTATTTGGCTCTCCGGTGCTATGAAAAGCCTCGCCCCCGAAGGTCATTCCGGCAGTTCGCACATCGGATCGGACGGTTCCTTCGTACATGGGTTTCGCGTTTTAAGCGCGAAACACATGCGCTACTCTGACATCCATGGCGTTGATCTATGGCGATGCTCAGATCCATAGCATCGGCACGGAACTTCACGGCTATGGTGGGTAACTCCAGGCGTATGGCGTGGACTGAGCACACATTTTAGAATACGGCTAACTTTTTTCTTGAGGAATTACCAGTTCGCTCTCCTTCCGAGTGTAAAGACACAAAGCAAAAGTAGGGCTTGCGCGTATTTAGTACGCCGCGCAAAATACACAATTTGCCTGAAAAAGCCAAGAACAAAAAAACAACGCGTTTTTAATTTGAAAACGTCATAAAACGTTAAACAACTGATCTTGAATAAACATACAAGTATCCTAATTCGTCACATAAGTGGGACTTTAAAAACATACCGTGAGGAGCCCAACGCTTTCTTTTTTCTTTTTTTTTTAATACATTTTTTTTTTTTTTAGAGAAAATGAGTGTCTTGCGATCGGCGTATGTTGACCATGGACATGCTGCTCCCTTAGGATCGCGATCACTCGGCGCAAATAAATGCGTGGTTGGAGTTAGCTAAATAAACGAGCCGCGTTTGCCCACACAAGGTGTGGGCACTGCGCATGCGCAGAAACCAAATTCGCGCGAAGTGAAGTGTCTGCGCACGCGCAGTGCCGTTGACAGCGCCACCGCAGCTGCGTGACGTCAGGGCCGCGTGTTGGTCTATAGTGGCGTATGGCGCGGTTGAAGCACACATCTTTGACGGCAGGTTATTCTTGCTTGCCTAAATTACTGAAGTGCCATTACTACGAAGTGTAGCCTCTAAAGAGGCTACACTTCGTAGTAATGGCACTTCAGCCATCTTGTTGCTTAGAATCGTTGCTGCCAGTCATCATAAAATTTATCGGAAATCGTGGGACACGCAATTTCAAAGTTCCAGGAATAGTACACCAGTCCGCGATATAGAGCAAACCGATATCGGCCCAGTTTCCTGGCAGCGTATCCAAAGCTCGGGAACTCGCTTTTTTTTTTTTTTAAATCGTAACCATCACCGATGGCGCCCGCCCTCCACGAAGCAACAAAGGGACGGCCCCCACAAGCCAATCAGGGAATAAGGTGTCGATGCATGCTTTAAATGTATCTTATTTAGTCAGAGAAATAAAACGCATGTTCAGGGTCGTTCATTTTTATTCATCTTTTTCTAAAGGAATCGGTTCCTCTCTACTCCAAGGTGCCGCGCTGGTACGATCGCCTAAATCTGAGCAGCATGAGCTCTTGTTTGTCAGCGTCCTGTAACTGTGGAGAGCCATGATCTATAGATATGACGAAATCTAAAACGTATGGAATTTGCTGATTGTGGCTCCCAATGGCGTAAGTCTAGCCCCATTGACTTGGCAGTAAATTCTACCGTATAGTCACCGGCAGGGCGAGAACGGCAGAGCGTCTCTTTCCGGTGCGCGGCGTCCAACGCACGTTCTTTGCCTTCCGTCGTGCTTTGGCTGCCCGTGCACGCTCGAGGCTCACAGGACGCTGAGGCGCCATCGAAGTTGGGAAGCATCGTGCTGGAGGCGGGACAAATGAAGGACATCCTTGCCGTTCTAATTCTGCCAGTGATTACACTGAGCTCACGTCAGAAGACGTGAGCTCAGTGGCTGGGCATTGCTGCTGAGCCCATACGTTTTACACAGCAAACGTTTTGCTCCAGGAAATTCGCTTTTCACGTCAAGAACGGGTAGGAATTACATGCTTGGGAGAAGAGCGTGTTGGTTTAAGTAATGGATGAAGAAAGAATAAAACAATTAAAACACTGGCACGATCAGATGACCAAACAACAAAAAATATACACTTTTTTTTTTACTTTTGTCAACAAAAAATACAAAAAAATATCATTCTGCAAACTGTAAAAAAAAAAAAAAAAAAAGGTAAGGCAAAGCGAGCATGGAAGACGGTTACGCTTATATCCGGGATGTGTCCTATTGGCGTGGCGACGGCAAAACAATGTTTTCGCCCATGCTGGAAGTCACGACATCCAAGATGGCGGGGCCCTTGTGGAAGAGGTGATTCAAGCGGGGATCGGTGAGGTATCCTCGGCTTGGTGAACTTGCGAAAAGGTGTCTATTAGACCCTTTTCAAAAGTCCGTCAAGCAACCTCGGTGGTCGCCATTGTTTAGACACGAAGCGACTGATTGACACTGGCAAAATTTTCGCCAGGCACTTTAAACATCCCAGGCTAACACTACACTGGCAAAATTTTCTCCCCTACAGCGTAAACGGCAGGCGCCCATTGGGGGCCGACTGTATAACTTCCCGATACGCGCACAACTGAAATAAACCCAAACCGAAATCGCCTCCTGACACCTCGGCGTAAAGTGGATGCGAGAACCACGCGTACCGAAATGGGTGACGTGAGGTTTTCGTTGAGCTTGAAGCGAATGCCCACGGACAGCGGCCCCGGGATCTGCACGGGGTTCGGCTCCAGGTCGAAGCCCGTGACGAACAGCGGGTCCGTGTCCTCGCCGCAGTTGTTGAAGGCCAGCCTGGCGTAGCCCCTCCGCACCGCCGGCTTGGACACCTGCAGCGTCGCCGACGAAGAACGGGCTTGTTTAACGACACGTGATTACACCCGCGATACACTCGAGTCGTAGTCGCATTGCTCATGCACCGCACAACGTGTTCTTTGCAGAAACGACGACATGATTATCTGCGGACCATGCCTCATGCATGTTCGAAGCGCGCTTTCTTCATGCCTGCAGGCAGTTTTTCTGTGACCAATGTCAGAGGGCCGTCCGACAACAACAAGAAATCATCTCCATTCGCCTTTCTTTTACAGCGGAGCTGTTAAGGGCTTGTTTCCCCAGGATCGTGTCCCCCGCAAACAAATGAAGACACCGAACTCTGGACACTTACCGCCATCTATGAGCGACGTCGGCAAGCCAAGTATCTGGTTGCCGCCGTCGCTCATAGATGGCGGCAGCCTTTCCACTCTGGCTTGCCGACTTGCGGCCGGCCATTACTTTTCACTGCACAGCTCCGCTGGTCTTCCTTCTTCACCAAAGTAAAAAAACTGAAAGTTTTTTTTTTTTTTCAAGATACAGTTTACATGTAAATTACACGTAAGCCAATATTGGCTTGTGCGTGGGTCGCGACCGATCCCTCTGTTCTTCTATTAAAGTATTATTAAACTGGTACTAGAGCGCACCATGGCAAGATAAATGAAGTTTCTATCTCCAGAAAAAAACAAAAACAATATATAGTTACGGTCTATTCCACTAATTCATTAAACGGCTGTAATAGGTCAGATATGTTGGATTTAGTTATTACTTACGTCACGTTGGTTAAGTACGAATCAACTCGTCGAAGGAAACTAATTCTTCGTAATTTTTCCGGTTTTTTTTTTGTTTTGTTTTTTTATTTTGTTTGAGTACAACCGTTTTTGACAGCTTTTTTAAATTTTATTTTGGGGGATCTTGCCTCGAGTAACCTCTTCTATAATTCAATAAAAATCTCGGGTGCATAATATGCACCCGAGATTTTTACTAAGCTAACCCATATTTCTGATTATATCCTTTCTTATTTTTTTTTTCTGGATCCATTTCATTTTAAGTTGTAGATATTTGGCACAGTATCCGTAGACTGTTATTCCACATTGAAGTGAGGACTTGTCCAGTGAATTGTGTACCATTCTTATTACGGATCGAGGGACCAGATCTTGTATTTTGTATGATGTAACAGAGCTGCCACCGCGGCTTTACGGGTAAAGGCCGGTGCTCTGGGTTTCGAACCGGATGAGCATCGCATACCGACGTGTGTTCGTGAGCACTGGCCATGTTTTGACGCACCGAGAGTTTCGACGACATTGAACGATCGCCGTATTTGATAGTGGCGCGCAAACGGTTCAAGAAACCCATCCACTCTGCTAAGCAAAGAGAGGCAGAAAGAAGAGTTATTTATTGAAACAACAGGGAACTTCGTAAAAGCTTAACGATCTTGGGTGATAGACAAAGACGTGGTCTCTACGTGCAAGGTTATTTCTTGGAGTTCACTTCCAAGGGCCTCTCTGCCTTCCGTCCACACGACTGTCGACAAGGACGCATCCACTTTCTCGGGCTGGAGCTAACCAACGTTGAGTGCTTCTTGTCGGCGTTTTGAGAGGTCAAGAGGCGCATGAGCAAATTTCACGAAGTAAATTTGCTAGCCATTTTGAAGGAGCCCCAGTCAGCTTTGTTTAGGAAATACGTATAGCGCTTATTTCCGCCTTGTGGTTGGTGACAGGTTAAGAACGCACTAGATGCTCCGCCTCTACAGCGCCAGCTTTCTCTCTTTCATAGCTTCTCGGTGCATGGGCAACCGAAGCTCGACGGAAGGCAACGTGCGAGTGCTTGAGGCGGAACCTTTACTGCATGCAGTCTTAACCTGTCACCAACCTACATTTCCTCCAAAGCTTGGTCCGCGAATGCTAGCGTACCTGCTTTATTACGCTCTTGCTTTCCCAGAGACAATTTACAGTGCCGTGTTTGTAACAAAAATACTGCAGCGATCGCTTTTCTAGACGCTGTCATGGTCGCGTGAACTTAGAAAGCGCATTTCTGAACGAGGTCCCCGTGTCAACCAACTATTTCATGAGACAACGTAGCTTCTATATGATTGAACGTTGACGCTGACGCTTCGTGAAAGGGGTCAGTGTACGCTTGACAAGCCCAGGGCTAAATTCTTCTGTCGTCCAGTCTGGTCCAGTCCAGCTCATCTGGTATCATGGCGCATCAATGCAACCACTCGTCATCTCAACCGTAAAACCCCACGCACTAGCCTTCGCTTACGTTTGATAAAGAGCTATCCGGCTTTCATGTTAAGGCCCGTTCACACTCTTGCGACCGAGTACGACCGAGAAAGACTTCTTGGGACCGGATGCGCTGAGCGGAGCTGGTCCTAAGAGATCGCAAAAGGCTTAAAAACCGGTTTGGTCTCTCTCGGTCGTACTCGGTTGCAAGAGTGTGAACGGGCCTTAAAGCGTGGCAAACGATTCAAAGAGTATATAGCTTGATATGCAGCATACGAAGGACAAGTCTTCCGATTACTCGCATTCGTGTATACAGTCAAACGAAGTCAAACGCGACTGTCTGAATGGACCTAACATTTTAAAGCAAGTCACGTGCCGTGCTCATCAACAACCAACTCGCGACGGCCAACGTCACGTGATGCGAGTGACATTAGTCACGTGAGTGAGCATCCAATGTGGCCGATGCTTTGTTTTCTGAACTTCCGCGAGCCAACCGCAAACGACGATGTCGCAAGAAACGACCTTGGAAGAGGTCTGTTGGCGAACGCATTGAAATAAGCATATCCGGGGTGTTGTGACAGCAAATAATGCTTACAACCTACATTAAGGGGAAGGATTGAACGTCGTCGTTAATGATGTGGACGACTTCGCATTGCGCGCCGACGAACACGGGCGAATGGTGTTCGCAAATTGGTCCTCGCCGCCCGTACATTTGTTTGGGCAGCGTTCTTGAATTATTCCACCGCCGTTTCCCAGAGGAGCCCGTGACAGGTGACTCTATCCTCGATGGTTCATGAAAATGTAGAGTAACCAGTATATGCTTGCGCGACCTTCGGCCAGACAGGTGTCTTTTATCGAGGGATAGTTTGAGCAGATGGAATTGTATACTTTATTTTACCATAAGGGCGCATGGTCAATGGCGAGAGGACCACGGACACGGATACTAAGAGTTCAAGGTCACGGTGAATTTACTGGGCTTGATTGTGTGTGTGTGCTTGTATGTGTATGTGTGTATCTGCGTGTGTCTGTGTGTATTTTTCAGGCTAGTCTCTCGATTTTTAAAAACGTAATTCGCGGATTACCATGCTACCATTACGCTATTAACTTTACCTCAGAAAAAAGTGGTGTCCTGATTACCTAACGTTTTAACAAAAAAAAAAAAAAAAAAAAGAAGAAAGAAAGAAATGCCTAAATTGTAGGTCATTATTGCACAAAAATAAATAAGATAGCTAAACTAATGGAACATAGCACAGCGCTCGTAATCATTTCGAGTATATGGTCCACCGGCATAAGCATCTGAGTCACGTTTTTTTGTGTTTTTTTTTTCTCTCTCTCTCACGTCCGGCCAGAAATGAAAGCCGTCACGCACAATGGTCTTCTTACGACACCGTTCTGATGCTATCGGAACAAAGCTCATAGACCCGTTCCCAGCTTCCTGTTTCATCGTTTATGAGCGCGCGGCGACGCCCATAAAATGAGGGCTGCGCCGAGCCGGGTCCTCTTATCGGTGGACAGCGGTGACGTTTCCCTCGCGCTCTTCGCCGCGCACTCGGTTGAACGGCGGTTGAACTTTATAGTTGAATGAAGGCTTAGCTTTAGCGACTTTTTTTTTATGACAATTTAAAAGGTTAAAAGCGCAAAACAACAATGACGAAGAAGGAAACACACACGACACAGACAAGCGCTAACATGTATAACTTTATAGAGTAGACTGTCTTAGAAGGAGGAGTGTTATGACTGGTGGGTGCACCATAAATGGCAGGACCCACGTTGGGCGCCTTACTTGACTTGTCCCAGGTTAAGCGCCATGTTTGATGCACCCCACGTTGGGCGCCATATTCGAACTACCCTACGTTGGGCGCCACACTCGACGTGCTCCACGTTGGGAGCCATATTTGATGCACATCGTGTTCGGCGTTATACTTGACGTACCTCACGTCGGGCGCCTTATGTCTTGCGTGCTCCGACACGAGAAACGAATGTATACGCGGTTTCACCGCCGTCTTGTGTTGCCGAATCCTTTCCTTCTGCACCTCGCACCAAATAATACTTTACTAGAATGCATATTCCACTCCACTTATCGGCATTAGACAGCGCGCCTACAGCGCCGAAACTTCCCCTATCGGCGTGAGCAGACCGCGCCCGAAAGAAGGCATGCGCTTCGCGCTTTCCACTCTTTTGTGCTACGCCGAGGGAGAGGGCTGCTGACGACACCGAGATACCGGGTTCGGCAAGACAGCAGGAACGACTGTCTCCGCTTTCTCAATGGCTTTCCACGATGATGGATGTCGGCAGCCGCTCCTCGCAGTTTGATGGGGAAAACACCGAGGCTACGCGCATCGTGCCCTTCTAGCTGCGCAAAAAGCTGTCGGCTCCAATTTTTTTATTAGAGTTTTACCGAGTAACATGTATTCCCCAGCAAAGTATTTGCTCGTACTGTCTCAAAGGCAAGCAGAACCGCCCTCGTCCTTTTTTACCTGTTTCATATGACCGTGCCTAGATTCCTATGAAAATAAAGATTCGAAGCTACGTGTATCAAAAAAAGGGACAAAAAAAGCTATACACATTGTTTTCCATCGTTGGTTTCTGCGCATGTCATTCGTTGTTGCTTTGTTGCTCTGACGGTGAGTTTTCGAGGGTCACTTTCTCCGATAAGTAGTATGAACACGGTTATATGGGCTAATAATCACAGAAAAAAAAAAAAAAAAGAACGGTGGTTGAAACACTGCTTGTGAGCCGTTTCTCCCCTGATGTTGTGATATCAGGCGACATCTGTTTGTCAACAAGAGCGGGAG